AGTTATAGATAGGTTGTTTTTCCTGATCCCATTTTCTGTAAATTCTTTACAGTTGATTCATAGATTACGAATTAAAAAATACTAAATAAATTAAATAAATCCAAATTTTATAAAAAGAAGTAAAGATATTAATTTATATTATCTTTTTAGTTAAATGTTGCACTCCTTTTGAAAAAAATTTCATATTCTTAATTAAGAAATAGAGATGCCCGCCCTGTTTGTCGTATATAATATCTCTTTATAGGAGAATTATAAAGTAAATTTTTATTAATAAATAAATCCAACATTATTTGCAAAATCATAACTATTATCATAAATTAATCTTCTTCGTCTTTCAAGAGAAAGATCTAAATTCACTAAGCTTTTCATAATATATTTCTTTATACAAATAAAATGTTTTTTTTAAATATTATAATTTAGAGGATAATTAATATTTTTGTTTAATGAATTCCATTTTTCATCCTACAAATTAAAATATTGCATAAGAGCATACTATGTACCAAATTATAACACCATCTTAATTTAACTATACCTTACGCCAACGTTTTATAAATTTCTTTTGGAATTAAGTATTGGTGAATAAATATATTAAAAATAAATACTATATAGTAACTTTTAATAAGTAAAAATTTAAAAATATCATCTATGATTACTATAGTGCTAGATCTAAGTACCTTTCATTGCTCTTTGTTTAATAACTTCAATATTGGCAGACCATCGAGGCGAATCTCTTAACATTATTGGCTTCTTTGGTTTACAATCATAAAAATGTTTATTTTAGAATTTTAAATCTAATTTGCAAGAAGTCCATAGAATCATTATCTATATTAATACATATAAATTATCTTTTAACAATTTCTGCGAATTTAACGTTAATTCGCGATCTCATGAGTCAGCTTTAGGAATCTGGCGTGGCGTCAAAATAAATTAAAAGTTATGCGAAAAAACTGTTTTAAAAACAAACCATTTGAAACTTTGGGATAAATAATATGTATTAAAATATATTAGTTTTCATTATTTAAGGAATGAAAATTGGGTATCAGAAAAAAATTACTAATGATTGATATATATTTGCAGAAATTAAATATGAATTTTTTTTGCAATTGACTCACGGATCACGAATTAAAGTAGTTGATTAACAAGATACGGTATAATGAGATCGTCGCCTGAAGAATGGGTAAAGCTAGTTCTTTAATTAATAATATTAGACAAGAAAGAGATATTTTGAAATTATGTAAATTAAATATTGATTCTCCGATATCAATTCCTAATGAAATAAATACACTTAATGAACTTTCAAAGGCTCTTAAAACCCATTCCACTTTTGAAATATAAAAATTGTTGCAAGTATAGATTAGATCAAAAGAGTTTCCAAGGCGATGAAGATGATGCCACTTAATTTCTTGCCAACTTTTGATCGCTTTGTTGAAAATCATTTGAACGATATAATGACTTGTCAGGTTTTGGATTGTCGGAATTTTGATTGCCGAGATTTTGGATTGTCGAGATCGGATACCATCCATTTATATTGAATTTCGCGTTCATAAATGTTCTTTCCCTTAAATCATTTATGTTATTAGCTGTTTTTTTCCTATAAAATTTCTTGATTTAAGTTGTTAAAATAAATTTATTAGCATATTTATCTAGATGAACGATATCCAGGATTTTCTCCTATACCATAATATGATGATAATGATAATGAATTCTGATATTGACAATGAATCTGAAATGAAAATGTTTAGGAAGAAGCTTAGGATACAAAAAGAAAAAGGGATAAGAAACAATGCTCTATTTGTAAATCATATCATTCACGAAATTGTCCTGAAAAGAATGTAAAGATGATAAAGAAATTGTTTATCTTATTATTAATATGAAGTACATGATAATTGGCGTCCTTAACGTATACGTACATCTTACCAGAATATAGGGGTCATACATTTGCACGTGATGGCGCTAACGTTAACTCCAGCCAGTTCGTACGTTAATATCGTTAAGGATAATATGCATTAAGGTTAGTAATATTGTGTTAGGATTAGAGTCAGTGCGTGGCGTTATTATTGTATTAGGGTTAGGACAGGATATTTAGTTCATTAGTTTGGTAAAGTTGTTGATTGGTTACAAAAAAAAAGAATGATTTTTTCTTTTTAATTTTCGTTGTTATTTTTATGATTTAGTAATCAATCGGAGAAAAATATTAGGTACGAAATATCTTAGCTAAATAATTTATTTAAATTCAAATTTTTTTTTTTTTAATAAAAAAAATGAATTTACGAGAAAAATTATAATGCAATAATGTAGATGAACAACAAAATTTGGTAATTTTTTGTTGAATAGAAAAATCATATAAATTGGTTTGATCCGGATCGGTTCGTGAACAAGACCAATTCAACACCAACCAACTCTGGGCTCTAATCACGTGATATTTACGTCTAACTTGTAGATACTTTGTATTAAGTTGAATTTAATTTACATTGACATTGAGTCTAAGTTTACCATAGTTAATTACTTAATGTGCTTTAGCCTTTAAAAGATACTTTATTATAATATTTCAATTAATAATGTTCAAACTTCTCCAAAACTTCATTTTCTAATAATTTAGGATAGTATTATGATTTCCAAGTCTTTTAACTTTTAATATTAAGATCCCATTCAATAAATTTTCTATCAATCCAGCCCGTTGGCTGTATAAATTTCAAGGTTTCTGCTTTTTGTTAGATTTTTAAATTATTTGTATATGGAATCTATTAAACTTGCGCAAAGATTTTATTTGACATTCTTGTAATAAATTATCAATATAATCATTTCCGGGATTCAATTTAAAAATTTTCTTTTAACCAATTTTAAATACGATATAAATATATAATGTCATTAACAGATAATTGGTTAAACAGGATTTATTTATTCTATTGAAATCATCAGGTTTAAATATTTTATTCCATGTTTTACGTCCACTAAAATTTAAAGAATTGAATTATCAATTTTTTACGTGTCTTCGAATGCAGCGTTCAATAACCCGAGACTTGTCTTAGTATTGCCATTTTTCGGATTTTGTGGAGTCTATCGATTCGGAATCTTAGCTTACTGCTTTATTACGTGTAAGGTTAATGCCATAAAGTTAGCCTGAACTTTCCATTTACGGTTGTTTAATAGGGTTGGACATATAGAAACGGATAGTAGAATTGGTGCTAGCTATAAGTTAGTTTAATCTAAATTTTTTATTATTTTATTCTTTATTTAATAATGAAAAAAAAAATTAATACCGTGGTATCTTCGAACCAGGTAAAGCTGACAACCAGGACGTGTGAATCAAAATTATTAATACTGATTTCTGACTCAATTAAAATTCAAGTCACAAAATTTTTTGTGACCAAAAATTATGTTAGAATTTTCGTTAATTATAAAAGTGATCTTTAATTATTAAATAAAATCATGAATTTTTCTTCAATGAGTACTATATGTAATCAGATAAGCTATCATATACTGTATCAACGTATAATACAAATTCAATAAAAAGTTTAAAACATTTAATTGTATTTTTATATTATTGAAAACAAAAAAAATTATGTCATAATACAAATCAAAATATTTTTAGACGCGTATTGTAAAGGTTCACAGAGTTTATCTAATTGTTTCAAAGATTTTATTGTAATTTGTTTCCATCTATGTATTTAAAGTCTTGATACAATAATTTTTCTACACATTGATTTACAGAGTTACTTGTTGTTAGTCATAATTGTTTGAAGCATAGCAGGAGATCATGTAATATCTTCCATCACACTGCGCCTATGGAAAATGAAAATTTTGGGATCACATTAACATAGGTGATTATTTGTTTAATAGAATGTAAGAAAAAATAATATAATATTCACAATCAAATTTCCAATATTACACATATTTCAAATATTATATAACGAAAATTATTTTCAATGGTACAGTATAATGTAGTTTTTCAAAATAATTTCTGTAATTTCTATTATAATAATTAAATAGTATTTATTTATATATTTTTTTTAAGATGTTATTGCTTTCAAGATCAAGATTTATAATAAAATTTCTTAATAACATCTCTCAATATCTTTATTTTCAGATATATTTTAGTACTATGGCCCTGACACAAGGGACTTCCTAAGAAGCGCACTAAGAAATAAAAATCATAAAAAAAATAAAAAGCAAAACTGAAAAATAACAAAAAGTGCACTTACCTTTGGTCCAGCAGCCCTACTGTGAGACTGCAGCAATAGCTGGTACTCACAGGCTTACAAAATAAGCACACTATGCTCCCACCCAACGCATAGTATCATGCTGCTCCAATAAAAATACCCAAAGCTAATAATAATGAAGAAATAAAAAAATCATAAAAAAAATAAAAAGAAAAACTGAAAATAACAAAAAAGTGCACTTACCTTTCGTCCAGCAGCCCTACTGCGAGACTGCAGCAAAAGCTGGTACTCACAGGCTTACAAAGTAAGCATACTATGCTCCCACCCAACGCATAGCATCATGCTGCTCCAAAAGAAATACCCAAAGCTAAAAATGTAATGAAGAAAAAAAAAAATAAAAAAATAAAAAATAAAAAAACCGAAAAATAAAAAAAAAGTGCACTTACCTTCGGTCCTATCGCAGGACTGCAGCAAAAACTGGTACCCACGAGCTTACTAAAAGTAAGCGTCTATGCTCTAACCCTCGCATAGTACTATACCGCTCCAAGTTCCCAACCAGCCCTACTGTGAGACTGCAGCAAAAGCTGGTACTCACAGGCTTACAAAGTAAGCACGCTATACTCCCACCCAAGTATAGCATCATGCTGCTCCATCGAAATACCCAAAAGACTACTTTCCAGACATTTAGAAGTTCAAAATGATATACAGAAATGGTAGGGCTTGGAAGAAGGTAAAAGGTAGAAGACAAAAACACCTAATACGCAAACACCAGTTGACCATTCGGCAAATATTTCTACGCCACTGACACCTCCTGATAGAATATACATGGAGTTAGCAAATATGGCGGTCAAGAAATACAAAAAAACTACACCTTTAACTGAAGAAGTGATAGTGGATATGATTATCAATTGGAAATTAGGAGAGGATTTAGACTCGGATTCAGATTCGGTTGATGAAAAACCGGGAGAGTTAAGGCTGAAGCCTCAACCAAAACTCAAAAACAAGATAATATTGCGCCGGAAGAAGTTGTGGGGGTCATAAAGGATTATCATGCGACCAAAAAGATAGAGTATGTGTGATACCAAGTGCTCAGCGAGGAATCTGAAGGTATGGCAGAGGCAAAAGTAAAGCTGACAGAACTGGAAGAGATCTTTACAACAACTTCCAATGATATGGAATGGCAACATATTACTTTGTACCGTTGAGCAAAGAACAAGGTCTAGGAAGCCTGGATCAGATGAAAGACTGAGCTATGAAACATAACAACTTCTTGAGGATAGGTCATAAAAGCGGAATAAAGTGAAATTTCGCAAGAATACACCACGTTGAACGACGATTTCACAAAATGACTCAAAGAAGAATTGTATGACCGATGAGAAAGAGGTAGGAGAAAAGAGACCCAAGACAGAGAGCCCATACAGTGGCTTGAATTAATGCGATGAGAGATGCGAGAGCAGGAGAAAGAGAAAAGAAAGACGGAAGGTGAACGGAAAGAAGGAGGAAGACAGTAAACAGCAATAAATGGGTCGCATCTCGCAATCGAAGTCACGTGATTTCACATAAAAAAGTTTCCGATAACAAATTTTATGCGGGGTATGGTGATGACTAGGATGCAGAATTGAGGGACTGGATTTTGGACTGACGACCCTCGCGTTTGCTTTTAGCTTAGTGTTTAACATAGGGGTTCTTGATTAGTTTAGAATTCACAAACTTACTAATTTACATTTTGTAGGGAAGGCCATGGGAAAGAGGAGGGATAAAACTGGGCGAGTAGACCGTTTGGTAATTTTGTCTGGTTGATCACACACTTCCTCCAGATACGGTTTTTTCATAGGACTAGAGAGAACGAGGTTTATTTATTTGGTTGGCATCTCTAAGTATTCTAAATATTATATATATGTACTCTTACTAATTTTAATAAAAGAAATGTGTTGCAAAAAAAAGTTAATATGGTCCCAACAAAATACCTAGAAGTCTACTTAAATATTTCCATATACAGACGGTGAAAAGGAAAGTTATAAAAATTGATTATGGGCTAGAGGAAGGGGGAGAGACGACAAAATGAAACGTCCAGAACCTACAAAAGAGAAAGCTGAAACGTTAGTAAACGTTTTGCTAAATAAATAAAAACAAAAAAAACAGAATTTCGTAAGTTTACCTTATACATATATATATATCTCGAAATTCTGTCCAAGAGGTATCCAGACAAAAGTGGGAAAAGGTGAGCAAAAAGCAGAAGGAAAAAGGACAAGTGAATGAGTGAAAGAGGATATATTGATCGTATGATCATGAGTCTACGACTGTTACGCGTCGCGTACAATTATAGTAGGAAATTGTTAACTGTGTTAACTGATCACAATTTAAGGTTCCGATTTCCAATTTAGATATATTAGTACTTGTAGACAAAGCTTGTTATATATATATATATATATTATTCAACCGGAATATTTTAGTAAATATGTGAATAATATAATAATAATAAATTGTACTACCCTTGGGAAATACTATAAATACTATGAAAAATGGTAAAAGTTAATGCCGTAATAGTGATTTCTACACTACGGTTGAAGAAATATTGTATATATTATTGGAAAAAATACTCTAATAGAATTTCAAACAGAAACAGAGAAACTTCATTTCGAGTTATTCTGTATTTAGTTACGTTGTTATTTTAGTGCGCTGTTATGTATTTTTTTATCAGGTACACTTAAAAATTTTACGGTACGATAATTATTTCAGACCATAATGAAATCAAATCAAATCAGGCCAAAACAATTTTAAAAAATTTTTTGTATTACTTCAAGATTTACAGCAGGTATGTTACGAACCCATCTACATAAGAACATAAGATCATACCCGCCAGAATTTAGACTCATTTAATATTGCTGAGTAATAAAATCACGCTAATAAATCACGCTATTCATATTATTCATCACGCTGCATCACATTCTACACTTTTTTATTTTTATTATATATTTATTCCGACAGTGTAAAATGTCATAATTCTGGCCAATTTTCATGATTACGCTGGAAAAGTTTGTCACATCGTACCTTACTTATTACGGATTTACTACGAATTCCCGATCCCATTATAATAAACCTGACGTTTCACAAAAATTCAAAGTCACGAGCCACGACATTTCCCGACACTAATATTATTAAATTTTAATCAGCATATTAAAAATAAAAAAATTATATCATTATATTATTGGTCAGTCTAATAAGATTTTGACGGACTGATATTCGGGGTTACCGATATTTTACCCCATAACTATTATTTATAATGACATTTAATAATAATTTATTAAAGTATTATTATTAAAATTATTAAAATTATTAAAATTATTAATATAAAAAATTTTAATTTTTACAAATAAAAAAACGTTAATTCTTGTGAAACATACAAATTATTACATACCAATAAAAATATTAATTGTTATAACATTATTACATGATCTAAAATATTTTTTTTCTTGCTTTTCAATAAAAATTTTTTATTTTTTAATATGCTTATTAGGAATTTTGAATGGGACGCGAGACGGGATTATAATTTATTCACTCCTTAGTAAATATAAGATTATATCACGTGATTTGTATATAGCCACGCCTTATACAGTGGCCTACAAAAAGTCAGTGAGTACCCGTAAAATATAATAATCATTACACAAATATGCTCCAATGTAAAGTTTTTTTTTTATTAATTGACTCACCTTTTGTATTATAAGTTAAGTTGATTACCAAGTTGAATTATGCTTACTCTGAAAATTACATGAATTTCTGATTAAAATTAATTGTTATATTTTGAAATTTATTAAAATATTTAGATATTTTAATGGAAATCTATGGTAATAATTTAGCATTAAAATATTTGCTTTAAAACACTTAATTTTTTTTTAATAAAATTATTTGTCATAATTTACAGCATAATGATCACGAAGTATCATCAACATTAACAAAATAATTAGCAAGTTACACACGTTTGGCAAAGATATTTGGCATCTATTAATTATTTGTAAATTGTTAAATAAAGAATAAATCATGATCTTATATTATGATTATAATAAAAAAGTTAGAAACAAATAGTCAAAATTTCCAACATTCATACAAAAAAAATTTGGCTAAATTTAATGCACTAGTTTTGCTAAATTCCGGTAAATAATCTGGTAGTGATCTACAAATGATCGGCAAATGCCAGTAAAAATGTTGTAACTTGCTGATCATTGCGTTAATACTGATGATAGATACTTCATATAATGTTATAAATTATGGAAAATAATTTATTTAAAAAATAAAATATGATCAAATAAGTTAGTTTATCGTTGTATTAATACTAAAAGATTTCTATTAAAAATCTAATTTTTTTCCAATAAATTTTAAATACAAAAATCAATTTTAATTAGAAGTTCGTGTAATTTTCAGAGTAGGTGTAATTCAACTTGGTGATCAACTTTACTTATAATACAAAAGGTGGGTCAATTAATAAAAAAAAAACTTTACATTAGAGCATATTTGCATAATGATTATTGTATTTTACAGGTACTCACTGACTTTTTGTAGGCCACTGTAGATAAATAAAAATAATTAATAAAGCGATTATCTGCTATTCTTTCCTAGTTCAGTAACAATATTATATATACATATACACACAATATATACTGTTTTGTCATCTTTTTTTTTAGGTCTATCTTCTCTCTGTCTAGGTCTTCTCTTCATTAGGTTTTCTTTCAGGCCTTTTTCTTTGCGTCCTCCTTTAGGTATGTGGGTTGGGAGTGTGGGAGTGTGGGAGTGTGGGTTGGGAGTGTTGGGAGTGTTGGGAGTGTAGGAGTGTGGGTTGTGAGTGTTGTGAGTGTGGGAGCGTGGTGGGTTTGGGTGTGTGGTGTTTTATTTTAATTTTTTCGTCATCTTTTTTTTTTAGGACTATCTTCTCTCTGTCTAGGTCTTCTCTTTATTAGGTCTTTTTTAGGCCTTTTCTTCCTCCTTTAGGTATGTGGGTTGAAAGTGTGGGTTGGGAGTGTGGGAGTGGTGTGTGGGAGTGTGGGTTTGGGAGTGTGGTGTTTTATTTAATTTTTTTTCGTCAACTTTTTTTTAGTTCTATCTTCTCTCTGTCTAGGTCTTCTCTTCATTAGGCCTTTTTTTAGGCCTTTTTCTTTACATCCTCCTTTAGGTATATGGGTTGGGAGTATGGGTTGGGGAGTGTAGGAGTGTGGAGTGAGGGAGTGAGGGAGTGTGGGTTGGGAGTGGTGCGTGGGAGTGTGTGGTGCGTGGGAGTGTGGGTTTGGGAGTGTGGTGTTTTATCATTTTTTTTTTTTGTCATCTTTTTTTTTAGATTTATCCTCTCTCTGTCTAGGTCTTCTCTTCATTAGGTCTTTTTTTAGGCCTTTTTCTTTACGTCCTCCTTTAAGTAGTATGTGGGTTGGAAGTGTTCATCTTATTTTTTTTTCATCTTTTTTTTTAGGTTTATCTCCTCTGCCTAGGTCTTCTCTTTATTAGGCTTTCTTTTAGGGTTCAAATTTTATNGTCTTTTTTTTGTCATCCTTTTTTTCATTTTTTTTAGATTTATCCTCTCTCTGTCTAGGTCTTCTCTTCATTAGGTCTTTTTTTAGGCCTTTTTCTTTACGTCCTCCTTTAAGTAGTATGTGGGTTGGAAGTGTTCATCTTATTTTTTTTTCATCTTTTTTTTTAGGTTTATCTCCTCTGCCTAGGTCTTCTCTTTATTAGGCTTTCTTTTAGGGTTCAAATTTTATTACTACTTTATGGAAAATATATTCATTATAAATTCCCTTTTCTGGCATTCTGAAACTTTGTAAGGTTGAAGAATATTTTCTTTCACCCGATACCTCTTTTCTTTATGTCTCCTTTTGTTTTGATTAAATAATCTTGAACATGGAGGAATAATAAACTAAGAATATCTTCTCTGATGTGGATAGCCATCTATTTTTTACAACTTCAAATGCAGCAATATCTTCGTCTTCGGAAATGATTGAGAATTGTTCAAATAATACTTTGATATATACTAATGAAGTTGATTTATCTGATAGGATTTGTAAGATTATAATTAAAAGGGCTTCTTTATTTATAGATGTTGGAATTATAATGCACACACAGAAAGTGAATTATGCAAAAGATGCGAAAATGTTTTAGAAATGAATGAGTAATTTATATTATTTGTTAGATTATCAATTTTTTTTAATTAAAATACTTATTA